ACCCTGTCATCTACAGCCTGAGGAACAAGGACGTGAAGGAGGCTGCCAGGAGGGTGTGGGGCAGAAGCTGGACCTCCAAGTGAGGCAGGGCAAGGGTCAGCCTCAATGAACAACTGCCTCCTTTGCCATTAAATCTGAAGAACTGAATGGTGCCTGGCTACCATTAATTACTGAACATTTTGATCAGAATCTATATAAGACTAATGATCAAAAGGAGGAATGCAGAATGGACTTTCAAATTCTCATGAACTCTAGACAACAACTAGACTCTTTGGAATCATGAAAGGGAATGAATGCCTGAAACTCTTGCCCTGATATAATCTTTAAACTTTAACCCAAAAATATCTCCTAAAGTCATGCTAAAACCAAGCAACAGTTTAGCTTAATTAGTTCTGCGTTCAGGACTATCAATGTAGGATCAAATTGACATCAGCACTTTGAAACATTAGCTAGAAGCCCTGGGGACAGTGAGTTTATGTTAAAAAGAGAGGAACAACTCAGAAAGGGAAATTGACAATGCTTCCACAACTCCAAGAATGTGGTCAATGTCACTGAACTGTGCATGTAAACATTATTGAATTGGAGTATGTTTTGCTTCATAAATTCTCAACAACAAGATAACTAAAATATAGAAGAGAAAAAACCCCAAAACATAACGCACAGTAGGGTACCATTTCACTAAAACCAAACCACTTACCATCAAGTTATTTCAGACTCCTGGTAACCTGATGTGTTGCAGGCTAGAAATGTGCTCAGTAGAGTTTTCAAGGCTGATACTTTTCCAAATCAGATCACCAGGTCTTTTTCTTTAAAAGCACCTCTGGGTGAATACAAACAGCCAGACATTTCAGTTAGTACCTGAGAACTTACCCATTTACATCACCTAGGGATTCAATTTTAAAAAAACAGTTATATACAAATCTAACAAAGTAACAATGTTTTGTTAGCTAGCAACAAGTTGGCCCCCAACTCATGGCATCCCTGGTCCACAACTTGTGAAACTCATGCACAACAAAAGGAAACAATGCACAGTCCTGAGCCAGTTTTAAAATAAATGGACCCTACATGGCCATCAGTCTGCGCTTATAAACTAAGAATTGAAAGGAATCTAAAGGAGGAGATAGCAAGATGGAGACGTTTTAAGCACAGGACAGAGAAACAAGGTAGACATGCTGGGATCCTGGGCAGAGCTGCTTTGCACTGACTGAGACAGAGATGACTCAGGGTGGACATGCAGTGTCACAAAACAAAGCCTGGGATCTGCTTCAACCTCACTAAGTGACACTGAGCTGTAACCCCAGGTCCAATCTGTACCACATCACAATGGCCTTAAGGACGTCCCTGCTCTGATATTCTAAAATCCCGTGTGTCTCCCTTCATTCAGCTCTTTCCCCTGTAACCCTCTCTCCAGATTGGTCATTTCCTTAAGATTCATGTGAGAGTTGAGTCAACCTCTAACTCTCCATCTGAAAAACAACTATGGCTATCATTTGTTCACTCATTCATTCATTTATTTGTAAACTTACAAATTAGAAGTTGTTTCTGCATTTATTTAATTGTTCTTGCATTTATTCATTCCATAAACATTCCTGGGCCATCACTGATTGGGAACTATGTGGGTACAGCCCTCTCCCTGAGGCACTTTCTCTAACTTTTCCACATCAATTATGAGTTCTACAACAAAAGTAATTGGGTCTTTGGGACATCATCCACAAGGCACCCAAACTTTCTAAGCTGAGTACATGTCTACTTGCACTAAATTACCTTGGGGGATGCACGGTCCCTTGGTGCACAGGAAGCTTTGAAAGGTGCCTCCTCCCTCTGACAAACTACTATCCCAGAGGCTGTCAGCCAGCATAGAGTGGGAACTGCCGAGCTCAGTGCATCCTGGCTGCCCACAGTGAATGATTGGACACTCTGTCCACCTTTGAACCCGCCAAGATTGCCAGACTCAACCAAATCTGATATACTTCAGAGTGAGTTCTAAGCACTTTGTATAATTCTACCAAATTCTAACAACTTCAGAGTTCTATCAAATTTCCTCAAACATTTGATGAATTCTAGGAAAGTCTAGGCACATTTCCCATTGGAAAACTGGGTCACCAGAAACCCAATGTCCTGCCCACTAGGATTCCTTATGTAGAAGCTCAGGCCTATGTTCCCTTAGCTCCAGCTAGAGAAGAAAGTCGCTGGTCTTGAACCCTCTGAAACACCCTCCACGCAGTCAGGAGCAAGGATCCAAGAAGGTGAGTGAGAAGTGGTGTGGGGCAGAGGAAGGAGGCTGGGCTGGCAGTCAGGAAGCCTGGGAATGCATGTGTCTTGGACTTAGGCTTTCCTCTTTATCTCATTGTGTGATGTGTTTGCTTTCTGGGCCTCAGTTTCCCCATATTTAACAAGGAGTAGTCTAGTTGCTCTCTAAGACCCCTGTTGTCTCTAACAAGCTATCATCTAAGTTGGGCAGATGCTAGGCTTGGCAGCCAGATGCTCACTCTAAGGTTGCCTTAGCCACAAGAGCAGAAGCAAAACAGAGGGAGAAAATGGCTATGGCCAGCCTTGGGGTTCAATGTGGCTTTCAGGACCTGGGACAGGAGGAGAAGAAAAGGAAATTCTTTCAAATTGTCAGCACTAGAGCACGAGCAGGGAATAAGAGGGGACATGAGTGTCATCCCAGTGGTACAAACACAGGACCATAGGAGAGAAGACTCAGGTGATCAGACAGGATAATGGAAGATACCTCCCTAGGGCTATTGCCCAGGGAAGGTGGCATATGAACTTGAGTTTAGGTGGAAGTGAAGGCAGAAAGGACCTTTAAGCTCTCCTTCAAACAAAACATCCAGGCTCTGCTTTGGGGACCAGCATTCCACAGCATCCTGCTACATTTCTCCCTGACCCCACCATCCCCTGACCTCATCCTCAGCTAAGTGAAGGAAGACAAAACAGGCACTCAGGTTGGGAAGCAAACTGCTTGTGTGTTTGACCTTACTCAGAGGCTCCCTCATCCTGCTGCTCAACCTGGGCCATTTGCTCCCTGCCTTTAGGGTTACTCCTTCTCTAGTGATACCTCCAAGGTCCTTATCTGGCCATGGTCTCTGTAGAGCTTCTGCCAAGAAGAAGGACTCCTGCCAGGTCTGCTGAACTATGGTCGTGGTTCTAAGAATCCGTACTAGTGGTTTTCAGTGCCACATGTGTGTGTGTGCCAGTGTAAGAGAGAGTAAGAGGGATGTATCCATCCGCTTTGGACAGGCACTCAGGTTAATGACCATCCATAGAGACTCGTGAGTCTTTCATGTAGCATATATACAGGGAACTGGTAGTTAACATATGTCCACCCAGTGATGACCCTAGACTAAAACCCTAGAGTGAGTTCACAGTTCTCTTTGCAGCAGAAGTGGCCCTGAATTCTCTGTGGTAGGACCACATCAGTTCATAGGACAGGGGCACTGTATGCCAGAAAGGAGTTACTAAGGCAACAATTACCCTGACAGTGGGTAGAAAAGTCAGGGAAACTCTATTAGGAAGGATTTTGTAACCATGCATGTGGCTAAGAGCAAAAGAAAAGAAATGAGCCTCCTGTCACTAGAGACATGCAAGCAGACACAGGATGAGTTTAGGCATGAAGTGGAAGAGACAAGATAGGTTTGATGCAGGAAACTTTGGGCACACCAGCCTCATCTGCTCCCCTGATGCCTAGCACAACCTACTAACATCTTGCTTCTGAAATAAATGAATGAGGAATAAAGAGAGGAAACGTTCTCAATAAGCGTGTCACTCAGCCCAGGCCCAGGATCTGGCAATATGCCCATGGAATAATCTACCACTATACGAAGTGCCCCCAAACACAAGGACGAGGTTGAATCATTCTCCTTAGCTAGTAAGAGGATTGTGGGGAGGACATGAGAGAAAGATGCACATCCTGTTAGGACAATGTTTGGAGATTTGGACAAAGTAAAACTTCTTCTGCTGCCAGGAGAACTAAATTCTAGAATCACCTGGCCAGAGAACCACTGTGTGAACTTAGTTTACCATGTGCACAATGAGAGACTCAGCAGGTTAATTGCTCAGAGTGTTTTCCAGGCAGATCCCCTAGAAGTTCTGGAGGTCCAGCAGGGCTGGCTCTGGGACAGAGGAAACAGGAGGATAGGCAGTGGAGGGGGGCTATTCTGAAGATTCAGTGCACACACAGTGAGTGTGGGGCAGGTCCTGGGGCAGGACAGGTGATAAGTCAGTTGATGGGCTCAGAGGCCTGCATGCCCCCAGTTCCAATCCAAGTTGATCATGGAGACCAGAGTTGGCCTGAGGAGACATGTCAGATTTCTGTAGGCTGAGAGACAAGGAAGGGCATCCCTGACAATGACTCAGAGGATTCCTTAAAGCCACAAAGACCCTCCACATACCAGGTACCTCCAGGTAGGTCGCTTTCAGGACCACTGAACAAGAGCAGCAATATTGGCATCAACCAGATCTACTTTGTCAGAATGTCTGGGGTGGAGCCCAGCAAACAAAATTTTAAAAAACTCTCCTGGTGATTCTATAGCAGCTAAAACATGAGGAGCTCTATACCAGCTCATTGTTTCCATAAATGTGCGCTTAGAACATTGTTCTGAAAAAGGGTAATGGTGCCCTGTGAAAGGAGGGTTAGTGGTCAAATAGATTTGGAGAACTCCTTTTAGACAGTCCACATGCATATTAAAAGGCTCTGGGAAGGCTTACAGTAGAGAGCTTGAGTTACTGAAGATTAATCCAGTGTATAATCAAATTGACTTCTCTGATTGTCTACTAACATTCCACAATGGCAGTCTCTTAGAAATACACTGATTGAAATCAATCCTGCTTCTTTTTCAGATGAATTATCTGGATTCCACTGAGGGTGTGGAGATTGAATAAAGTCACAGACCTGGAAAAGGACCAAGTAGTCACCTCCTCCCAGAGGTTCTGGCACTTCCCACAACTCTGAATCCTCATCCCCTATTCCCAGCTTGTGTCTCTCCAAACCTTATAGCATGGAGACCCTCAACATGACAGAAGTGTCTGAGTTCTTTCTCAAAGGATTTTCTGCCTACCCTGTCCTAGAGCGCCTGCTCTTCCTGTTTTGTTCAACTGTGTACCTGGTGACCCTGCTGGGAAACACAGCCATCGTGGTAGTGAGTGTGCTGGACGTCCGCCTGCACACGCCAATGTACTTCTTCTTGAGCAACCTCTCCATCCTGGACATCTGTTACACATCCTCATTTGCACCCTTGATGCTGGTCCACTTCCTGTCGACCCAGAAGACCATCTCCTTCATTGGCTGTGCTGTCCAGATGTGTGTGGGCTTGTCCACGGGCTCCACGGAGTGCCTGTTGCTTGCCATCATGGCCTACGATCGCTACCTGGCCATTTGTTGGCCACTCCAGTACCCCATGCTCATGAACCACCGATTATGTGTGTTGCTGGTGGGAACCCCTTGGGCCTTCTCGTTCCTCATATCACTCACTGAGACGGTCATTGCCATGAAGCTGCCCTTCTGTGGCTGCCATGTGGTCAGTCACTTCGCTTGCGAAATCCTGGCAGTGCTGAAGCTGGCATGTGGAGACACATCGGTCAGTGAGGCCTTCTTGCTGGCAGGTAGCATTCTGTTGCTGCCCATGCCCCTGACACTCATCTGCTTCTCCTATGCTCTAATTCTGGTCTCTATTCTGAGGGTACCCTCAGCTGCAGGGCGCCGCAAAGCCTTGTCCACCTGCTCAGCACACCTGACTGTGGTGGTACTCTTCTATGGTGCTGTCATCTACATGTACATGAAGCCCAAGAACAAGGAGGCCCATGTTGCTGATGAGGTTTTCACGGTCCTCTACGCTGTGGTTACCCCCATGCTGAACCCTGTCATCTACAGCCTGAGGAACAAGGAAGTGAAGGAGGCTGCCAAGAAGTTGTGGAATAGGAAGTGGACCTCCAGGTGAGACAGGCAAGGCTCAGCATCAACAGGGCTCTCTGGTTGGAAGGTGAGGCCACCATCTGTTCTTCAAGGAGACCAGAATGTGGACTAAGCCATGTGTCTAGTGTCTTCACCCCTGAAAATTCACAGAAGGCAACACCAAGTTACACTGACCCTGAAGCAGAAATTGTTCCTCACTCTGCTCCTTGCCTTTGAATCATCCTAGACCAGTTTTCAGCATTGATCCCTGGACCTTCACACAAGCCTCTTGGTCGGCCTCTAGGTTTCTAATCAATCTTTCAGAGATATTTGTTTCAAAAGCATAAACCACTGGATCATGCTTCTAATGAAGCTGTTAGTAGCTCCCACTGGTATAGGGTAAAGTACAATTGCTATAGAGGTCACTCAAGACTCAACAAGCTTTCCCTGCCTACTAAATTCCCCTTCCTTTTGTCTCATAGTCTACCTCTTTACCTACTACCCTTTGCACTCTTACCTACTACCACTTGCACTGCCAGCCATTGTGCCTTCCCTGGGCTCTTCCCACAAGGCAACTGTCTGCCAGCACACAACTAGAGAAGTGAAAGTTAAGACCCAACTCAAAAATAACCCCCACCAGGAAGTCTAAGAATCCCCACTTTGCTCCTCCCACTGTTCTCCTCCTGCCACATTTTCAGTGTTACTCCAGAAGCAAAGTGTCAGAATCCCAAGCTCCGGCTCTGCCTAACCCAGGCCTTGCACATTTTTCTTCAACAACCATATGAGCACATTAATGTAGGAGGTGATAAAATCAGAGCCGGAAGTCCTTCCTAAATCGAGTGGAACTGGGATGGAGTTCGCAGATACAGGCACAGCATGGCCCACTGGGAGTGATGAGGCTATAGTTCACTATTCCCAGATCCATCTGGCCCCTGGGACACCAATCATCCTGAGCACCTAAGGTTGGCCCCACCTTCTTTCCCTTTTTGTGGCAGCAGAAACCTCCAGTGTCTCCTTCCTGGCACCCAGACCTCACATGGCTTTGATGAGACGTGCTTGGCCCTGCTCCCCTCACCCTCAGGGGTCCTGCCATACCTGCCCCTCCTGCTGCTCACCTTCCTTCCAGCTTTCTGAGAACTCAGTGAACACACAGTGAAAACAAACCGTGGGGGCACTTCCATTCTCTGCACCTCTCTTGTCCCAGTGGCACCAACTGTGTGGTGGAAAGTTGGACGTGGCCTCCCATCTGCAGTACTGCTCTCCTGATCCTTGGGGGCACTTCCATTCTCTGCACCCTTCTTGTCCCAGTGGCACCATCTGTATGGTGGAAAGCTGGACTTGGCCTCCCATCTGCAGTACTGCTCTCCTGATCCTTGGGGGCACTTCCATTCTCTGCACCCCTCTTGTCCCAGTGGCACCATCTGTGTGGTGGAAAGCTGGACGTGGCCTCCTATCTGCAGTACTGCGCTCCTGATCCTTGGCTGCATAAGTGCTCAGTTCCCACCCAACCCTCTTCCTGCTTCTTCCATTGGTCAGAAACAGACCCAGCATAAGTACACTGAGGGCACAGACAAGCAGAGCTCATCTCACAAGTTCCCAGTTGAGAGACACATAAATCTGTAAGATCAAGTCTTAGTTGATTCAAGAAAAATGAAGTCCTTGACAACTTCAATCTTTTCCCCATTGATAAGAATGTTGTTTATTG